CGAGCTCTGACTGCAACGATCGGCACATAGGCCCTTGTAAAGGCAAAGGGCGGCGGTGTTTCGCCGTAGGTGTCTTCGATAAATGCTTTTCGCGTCCGTCTCCGTCACAGGGACGATGCCATCATCTTTGAGAACACCCTTGACAAAAGGAAACACAACGACGAAACCGTGGCTGGACCACTGTGAGGTATGGCGGGCGTACCACTCCCACCCCAATGTCATCCCGTGCATGAAGACCACGGCAGGAAATGCGTCCGAATATGGTTTTCTTGGGAACTGGATGTAGAATTCATGTCCATGGTACGTGGCGTTGTCCAAGGCAGTTGGGAAAGGCCCTATCGACGCTGGTGGCGATACGTCGCAATCCAACCACCCGAAAACAGGCTCCGTGACCACTCCAACGAGAAGAAGTGCAATGCGCTGCATCGCTGAACCTCGCACTCGCCGCAAAAGTCGTGCATGCTGGACCTGGAGCTGGTACATGACACGAGTTATTGAGCCAAAATGTATACGTACAGATGATGGCGGCACTGAAGATAGCGGTGACGACGATGATGCTGGCAACGATGCCAATACTTGACATGGTGGTGATGGTTGCATTCACCAACCCTCTGGGAAGCACGTGGCATGAACCAATATGACCGAGCTCCTTTCCACCATCGGTGCAAACCGTGTCCTTGACGGTGGCCCTCTGCTGGCTCTAACGGCCTCAAGTTTCGTCGCTACGGCTCTACGGCCAAGACGCGAATACGCAACCCATCATGTAGTACAATGTGCATGGTTCCAAGATCGCACCTGCAAGATGCCCCAAGACGCCCCAAGAGACCTTTAAAGGCCACCCCAGGAAATCCCCCAAGAGACCCCAGAAGGCATCTAAGGGGCCTCTTGCCAGCACAGGCTCCTCGAGACTTCCAGCTGATGTAGCGCTCCCCCGTTCATCGCAGCTCCGCTGGGCATCGTGTCTGGATGGGCTGGTGGGGATACACGAAGCGTCAAGAATACTGCAAGCGCTAGCAGAGGCGGGGGTGGCAAAGGCAATCAAACTGAGCGTTTTGCAACGTTGCCAGAGAACCAGATTCGGACACAGAACGGGCGTAAACCAGACGATGCTGCCACCATTTTGAGCACCCCGGCGAACGGGCCACCGTCTGGATCACCTGGGGCACCTGGTCCGCGTGGCGCACACGGCACGCGCGGCGCTCCTCTCGGGCGTCGCGCCCTTGGCGTCCGTGTTGGCTCCCGAATTGACTGTCCTTGCGATGGCGACCTCTGCCCATGGCTGAGTCTCCGGTGCCGCTCGTGCAGGCAAAGGGGCGGGCGGTAGTGAGCGAGACAGCTTGCGGCGTTCCCGTTTGGGACTTGACCCCTCCCCCCAACCTCTTTCCAAGGTCTGGAGGGGGGGAGCGGTCAAAGCGTCCAATGTGGCCTAATATGGTTCAATGTTGTTTTAACAAGCAAGGATGGCACAGCATAGCCCAATATGGCTTCCGGCATGCCTCCTAGATGACACAAGACCATCCCAAGATCGTTCTAAACGGCCACGGGGTCTCCCATATATACCCTAATAGGCTGAAGCCTATGCAACAACTAAGACACATCAATAGTATGTGCCTTCTCGGTAGTCGCTTCCAATGGGCTTCTGAGGCCTCCGGATGGCTCCAAGACGGTCCAAGAGAGCCGCTGGAGGAGCCACTGGCGGTCCAGAACGGCCCGAAGAGCGCCCCAAAAGGTGAGCTTTCGGGCCCAAGAGGATCGACGCTTATCCGCGTCAGCCCTCCGCTCAAATCTAGACACCTGGGACAAACCGTAAGCTGCTGAGAGATCTGGGCATGCGCGGGGTATCCTTCGGATGCTTTTGGGCCAAGCTGGTTCCGGTATGGATTCAGATAGCTCAAGGTGGCTTCCAATATTGCGCAATGTGTTTGGGCGCCCGAACTGGGTACGGAAAGAATGGGTACAATGCCCAACAACAAATCTTGTCCCAAACCAACAGCGGCCGCTGTTGGGCAGGCGGCCTTCTGTCTCGAATGGACACAGGCCGCGGCGACACCGACAGCGAGTCCTGTTCAAAATGAACAGGAACTGCTGTTGGGCATTGTACCCGTTCTTTCCGTACCCATCTCGGGCGTCCAGAATGTGGTCCCATATGACTCGGCATGTCCTCCAGCATGCCTCCAGCAGGCTTTAAGACCACCCAATGTCGGCGACGTGGGCACAGAGCGAGCCAAGAAGAGCCCCCAAAGGCCCAAATCACGCAACAACCAGATGAGTCTCAACAGTGTTTTGACTTCTCGCCTGTTCGTTTCCAATGGGTACCCAAAGCTTCAAGATGGTCCCAAGATCGCCCAAGAGAGCCCACATAGGGGCCCAACGCGGCCCCAAGAAACGACTTTTCGTGTTTCTTTGACTGAATCCGAGATGGCCCCCAGATGGCCCCCAAGAGTTTCAAAAGCGCCCCAAGGGTGCCACAAGAGGCGCCCAGGAGGCCCCAAGATTCCCCCGGAAGGTCCCCTAGCTCCCTAGGGACCTCCAACAAAATGTTCCCGGGAGGCACTCAAGTCGCTTAAGAGGCCCCAGGAGCCGCCAACAGGCCCTTAAGACGCTTCAGAATCTCTGAAAAGACACCCGAAGAGACCCCGAGAGGCATCCAAAAAACCTCTGATCGCCCTGCTCGTCCTACTCCTCCTGCAACTCTGGCCCTCTGCACGATTTGGACCGCCGCGTGTTGAAAGGTCAGGATCACTCAGTTGAGCCAGACACCACATTAGAATAACTTCAAGTTTGTGGCTCTGCTGCTGCTGCTTGAATTCTACGCATCACCGGTGACCTCTGCAGGCGCGGGGAAACGATGTGTTTGCACCCCCGCTCGGCCGACTATGGCCGTGAAGCGCGCCACAAGAATACTGCAGCACGCGTGATTACAACCAGATGCGAATCGCAAGCCTAAAACTGCAAAGTAAGATGCACATCTCGAACCTTCATGGGAAAGCAAGCACTTAAGAAGGCTGCTAAAGTTTGGGCGTGAACACGCCAGGGTTGCCGCACCTGCGATGTACTATGATCATGTACAGCAGCGCTCAACCTTAACCGATGGCAGTCATCACCAGTAACTGGCATCGGAGCATCACGACAAACACCTGGGTTTCAGCTGGCCCTGATATCAATCAAATCATAGCTTGTCCACGGTGGCTCACTCTCTTGGGGTGAGAAACCATGTCAGCACCAGTGGCTGGCACCAGCTCGTGCCCTCCAGCGGTAATGTGCTGGTTAGTATACCTCATGTGCACTGTCATCCCATCGAGGCTCACATACTTGGTTAAGGCATCGGCCACATTTTCATGCCCCACGTTCAAAACTCTGATGCCACCTCGGTGTGCTCTATCATGTCACCAAAGTTGGTACACTTAAGAGTGTCTAACTTTCCCAGCCCTCGCTGATTGCAGCAGCTAATGCAGCTCTGGCGCCACTCTTTATTACAATGCTGCGTCCCCAATCGAAGTTCATGAAGACCGCCTGGAGTCCCAATGCTACTGATGGTCTGTCAACCATGACGTAATACTCGGCTTGGCCCGAACATTATACAACCACACCTTGTGTTGAGGTGCATGATTTGATCAAACGTGATCCTCGCAGAACTGTTTCGCCAATTGTTGATTTTCGTGTCTGCTGGCGTCCAGCGATGTCGGTCCACGCTGTCACTTCGTTGGGTTTCTTTCAGTAAGGGTACCTGTAACTGGGCCAGTCGTTATTTGGCCAAATTGAATACACATCCCTTCCAAGATGCATGCGCCAGTGTGGACATTGACCGAGCAAGTTCTTTTACCGAAAACAAAATGTCAAACCGATCCTGCGCCAGGTAGTTTGCACGGGCTACAAGCGCTTGGTACTCCTTCATTTCGCGTGCTGGTAATGGTTATTCGTCCTCTACCTCGTGTGGGAACCTCTCCCCTGGCACCTCACTCCTGTCCTTGTTTTGTTTTGGGCCCAGCTCCACATATAGAGGGGTGTCGTTGATCAGCCTCATACCACAAACCATCTTGACTCCAATCCACAATCCTGGGCTTTCGCGTTTTTTGGCCCCGGTCCCAGCCTACCTCGAATCTTAACCTCAAACTTGTCTTTTGCCTCCTTGTCGAATAACTTGAGATCCAGGCTACTCCCCAGACTTGTAAAGCCATCATCGTGCACTGTTAGCCATAGCCCCTTGGTTTGTGCTTGGGTACACATGGTGATGCATTTCCGCTGATTAAGCCAGTATCTTTAGTAAGGTTCATGTAGCAATTCAATCTTCGCATTTACTGGCGGCGTCCCTTGTCCCGAACATAGACTTCAGCACCCCCCAGCACATGCCTGGCTCCTGGTCCTCTTCTGCTAACTTGACAAATCGGTCTTCTTGGCCTCCGTGAGCAACTGGGAGGTCCAGCGGAGCTGGGAACCACGCGCGCACAGACGGGACCACCACTTTCGTGGGCTCATGGGAGCTCCGGCGGAGTCGGGGGCCACGCGGATCCAGCCGAGACCTCGCGGTTCCCTGGGAGGCTACGAAGTGCGCAACCGTCGCCACTTTCGCAGGCCCGCGGGAGGCACGGCGGAGATGAGGGCAGCGCAGGTCGTGCATATCTGGCGACGTGCTCTTTTGTATATGGAGCGCTCGTGCAGATGTTCGCCTCGCGTGGAGAGGGGGCTGGGTACGTCTCGGGGAATTTTCACAGGCCCAGGGAGGGCCACGGAGAATTTTGCCTCGCGGCGGCCCAAGGTCGGGAGCGGCCAAGAGGGGGGTGTCCAAGAGGGGGGGGTGCAAATCATGACCGGCGGCATGTGCGCGGCCCAGCGGGGGGGCCAGGGACGTAATGAAATAAGAAGAGGCGCCATGAAATCTGGGGAAATATCATGGCCCCCGCCATGATATCCACCCCCCCCTAGTCATCACCCCCCTCTTTTCCGCCCCCGAAGGGAGGGCCACAGGGAATTTTGCCTCGCGGCGGCCCGAGGGGTCCGTCCTGCTCCTTCTCGAGCGTCTTCTCGCGGACGTGGGCCTGGCGCAGCACGAAGGTGTCCCCCTTCAGCTGCTTCTGCTGCCGGGCGGTGAAGGACCCCATCGCCTGCAGCACCTCGGAGGCGACTCTCCTCCTCCTCCTCCTTCTCCTCCTCCTCCTCCTCCTCCTCCTCCTCTTTCTCCTCCTCCTCCTCCTCCTTCTCGTCCTCGTCCTCGTCCTCCTCCTCCTCCTCTTCCTCCTCCTCCTCTTCCTCCTCTAGCCCCCTGCTTCCCTCACATCCTCGCGTCGTGGAGAAATCACGACGAGAGGTCATCGACAATTTTCGGTCTCTGGGGGCGTTCAACAGACCCTGGGAATGGCAAAAAACAACTCCGGATGAAAAACTGGACCCCGGGAAGGGGTCCCGACCTCTGCGGAATCACGTGATGAAAAAAAGGCGTCCGATGTCTGGGCCCACCTTATCTTTCTCCCTTTCCTCCTTTCTTGTGGCACTGCTTGAGGCCCCCACACCCTAGCAGTTCTATCTCGGCTAAGCGCGATTAACCGCCTTCGCTCTTCAAGTCTTCTGTGAGACTGACGCTGTCGCTTCGGGTAAGGCCCCCCAGACAGCGCCAGGCGGTTGTAAGCAAATGCTGAGGTCTCGTCAAGTTGCTAAGTACCGTCCCCGCCTTGATGGGCGACGTGGCTGCAGACATGTGTGCCCCAGCCATGGTGTATCTCGTCGTCGTCGTCGTCGTCGTCTTCGTCGTCGTCCTCGTCCTCGTCCTCGTCCTCGTCCTCCTCCTCCTCCTCCTCCTCCTCCTCCTCCTCTCTGCTCATCCCTCCCTCCCTTCCTTCCTCCCTCCTCCTCCTGTCCCCCACCCCTTTCCCTAGAACTCCTCCTGTCGCACCCCCCAGACGTGCGGGTAGGCCGGGCCAGGCGTTGCGCCTGAGACTACCGCCCCATCTATGTAGGATCCTGAAGCCCCGGCCCGTGCACTGGCCCCCGGCCCCGGCACCCGCCTGGCCCCGGGCCCGGCCTTGGCCCCAGCCACGGGCTTGGCCCCGACCCCGGCCTGGGCCCCGGATCCGGCCCCGGCCCCAAGCCCGACCCGCCCCCGAGGAGACAGACCGCTCTCCTCCTTTGTCTCCTCCTTCTTCTCCTCCTCCTCCTCCTCCTCCTCTTTCTCCTTCTCCTTTTTCTCCTCCTCCTTCTCCTCCTCCTCCTCTTCCTCCTCCTCCTCCTCCTCTCCTCCTCCTCCTCTCAATCCTCCTCCATCTTCTCCTCCTTTTTCTTTTCTTTTTGTTGTTGTTGTTGTTGTTGTCTCTTTTTTTCTCCTCCTTTCTTCCTTCTCCTCCTTCTCTCTTCTTCTTCCTCCCCTCCTCCTCCTCCTCCTCCTCCTCCTCCTCCTCCTCCTCCTCCTCCTCCTCCTCCTTCGGTCTCCTCCACCACCCCCTCCCCCTCCTCCTCCACCACTCCTTCCCCCTCTTCCCTCTCCTCTTCCTCCTCCTCCTCCTCTTCCTCCTCCTCCTCCTCTTCTTCTTCCCTCCACCGCCCGCCCCATGTCCCGAGCCCGTGGCAAGGTCATCAGCTCGTCGGTGTCGTTGTCTCCGTGATCGTCGTCGTCGACCGTGTGGGTCGATGGCACCGGCCGTAAAGCCTTCACAACAAGTCGGAATCTCCCCGCCCAATTTTACCGCCCCTTTGGGGATGTGCAACTTACATATAATTCTGCCCCATCGTTCTTTTTTTCATCCGGACTCGCACCATCCGAAGCAGGCCGGGTTCCCACCTCCCCTCCTTTCATCCCCTCGCAAATAATGTTATGCGCGCGCAATCGTTTATCAAACGTCACCAACTTGCAACAAACCCGTGCCAAACAACCTGACAGAGTCCACACGAGCGCGTCGTCGCGCGCGCATGCCGGAATTCTTCAAAAGCGTGGTTTTGTAAGGGTTTCAAAATCGTGTGTCCCGAAACATGAGAAACACCAGTGGTTTCGCAACGTGGTTCTTCAAAAGAATATGGGCGCGCGCGCGAACTCTTGCCAATTCTTTAAGAGCGACGCGTGTTTTCGGGCATTTTTCTTTAAACTCGACCAAACAAGCCTCCCGCGCGCGCGTGCCGAAATCATTCGAAACCCCTGCACGCGTACTGGGGGGCAAGATCTCCGTCAAATTACACAATGCGGGCCGCTCGCGCGCGTCGGCCGCGCGCGCATGTCGGAATCCTTCCTAAACCTTCATCGCCGACACGTGTAGACCATCATCGTCATCGGCGTGATCGGCACCGGCGCCGCCGTTGGCCTTGCCGTCGTAATCGTCATTTTCGTCACCCGTCTCGCTACTATCGTCATTGTGTCTGCTGTTGTCGACGTCGCCATGGTACCGCGCCCGCGCGAATCATCGACTCGAAATGAAAGGCCTGCGCGCCAGCGCGGCCTGCAAGACGCTCTGGAACATCCCCAGCGGTCACCGCCATCGCCTCCGCGTCGGTCGCGGCAGACTGGCTGGCCTCTCTGCGCGAGCCTGCGTACGCTAGCGTGGCCGCAGCGATGCGCTAGCCAACGCCAAGCAGTCATCGAATCAATGCCGCATGGGTTTTGTGAACCGAATTGCGGGTGGGCGGGTGGGTGGGATGATTGCGCGAGCAATTGATTTAACAACCCCAAGTCTTTCAGTATCAATTTTCCTTCCTGAGAGACAAGAAGGATCTCCCCCCTGAGAATCAACGCCCCTCGTTTTTGTATCGTAATTCACATATAATTGTGCCCCATCGTCCATATCAAATTTGAACTCGTACCATCTCAGGCAAGCCGGTACGGCGCCCCTCGCATCCTTTGCACAAAATGCTATGCGAACGCACTCGTTTCCCAAACATCATCAGATTTCATATACCCCTTGCAGCAGCTGAGACGAAGTACGCGAGCGCGCGTCGTCGCGAGCGCATGCCGAAACCTTTAAACATCTTTGGTTTCGCACGGACTTCAACATCGAGAACCACGAACACATATGAAAGAAAACGTAATTTCGCAACGAATTTTCTTTTCAAAAAGCCTGCGCCCGCGCTCTCGCGAGTTGTAAGGAAAACCATCGGTTGTCCAACCTTTTCGACACATTCGACCAAACGGGACTCTAGCGAGAGCATGTCGAAATCGTTCGAACGCCCTTGCGCGCGTGATGTCGCAAGGATTCTTTGCAACAAATGGGACGACGTGCGCTCGCGCGCGTCGTCGCGCGCGCGTGACGAGATCGTTTAAAAACCTTGGGGCCCACAGGGATTTCAAAAACGAGTGTCCCGACAACATATAAAACACATGGCTTTTCAACATCAGCTTTCAAAAAGCCTGCGCTCGCGGTCTTGCGGGTTCGTATGACAACCACAAGTTTTTCAACATGTTCACCAGATTCTGCCACGCGGGCTACCCTGGCCGCATTTCGAACTCATCCGAACGCCGTTTCGCGCGCGTGCTGGGGGGGGCACGATCCGTGTCAAATAATACCGCGCGGGCCACTCGCGCGCGTCGGCCGCGCGCGCATGTCGAACTCCTTCAAAAACCTCCATCGCCGACGCGAGGACATCGTCATCGTTATTGGCGGGCATGATCAACAACAGCGGGCATGATTAACATCGGGCCTTGCCGTCGTCGTCGCCGCCATCGCCACCATCATCGCTACTCTCATAATCGTGTCAACCGTTGCCGGCGTCGCCATGATACCGCGCCCGCCCAAATCACCGACTCGCACTGAAGCGCCTGCTGGGGAGTGCCCAGCGGTCAGCGCCTCCGTGGCCGCGTCGGTCGCGGCAGACTAGCTGGCCGCTGTGCGCGCGAAATAGCGCGGCCGCAGAGATACACCAGCCAACGACAAGCACTCATAGCAATCGCCGCCGCATGGGTTTTGCAGTCCCAAGTTGCGGGTGGGTTTGTGGGATGTTTGCGAGAGCGTAGAATTTGTCAGCTCGTTTGTAAAAATAAATGGCCCCACGTAGAATGCAACACATAGGTAGCACACGCCACATTTTTACATATATATAAGTATATATGTGTGTAAGTACATATACCACCAACTAACATGCATCACACCGGTCGCACCG